GCATATATCATTTCTTAAAAGTACAATTTCATTAATATATTGCATAATTGTCAAATCTTGATATCAAATGAATAAACAGAGCAAAGATTAAATTGTTCTTTTAGCAAAGTTCCAAGCATCAGCCAAGGGGGGGTGACATGGAATTAATTAGGTTGCTGTATTGAATGAGAAAAAACGCACAGAAGCTTGAGAGAGGAATGCTTTCGTGTACAACTTCCTAAGGGAAATTATTTCCTATTTACATTAATTATGGAAAATCCTTCATATTTCTATGAAATTAGCCCCTTCACTGTGATCTGAAGTTACCAGTATTCTCTAGTCCTATCCATTCAGCCGCTTCTGATCGAAAACTATTTCCTATATTTATTTTTGTAAAGAGAATAAAATGTATATGTAACTTAGACCGTAACCAGTCATCATAATAATTAATTGTTTACAGTCATTAAAATAATATACATGAACCATGTATATCAACGAAATTAAATCAAAATGTCATTAATTATCGAAATAGGAAGAATTCATTAATAATTTAGATGTTAACGGAGAAATTGTAAATGAAGAATTATTAAGAAATACTGATAAATGCATATGCAGAATGTTGAGTCACATACTAATCGTAAATTACAAACAGCTTTTACAGAAAGTGTGACCATTTCAGAAAAAAAAAAAAATTAAATATTGCTAATCACGCAAATTTGAAGAAACCCATATTGTAACAGAAAAAATGATAAATGCAGAAAGGATGTCTGAAATACAATGCAGAAAGGATGTTTGAAATACAGTTAGTAATTTATTTGTTCAGGATAAATTTTCTATTTTCACATTTTGCTGTACACTTTTCAGACCTGCTAAGAACACTCAAAAGTAGATCATCAAAATTTGCCAAAATCTTTATGCACACGCAGAACAAATTTGACATGAATGGAAAATCTTGAAGAGGAACGAAGTTAAAAATCGGAAAAATGAAAATACTCTGTTTCCGTTATATACGTTACGGGAAAAGTATGAAATCCGGCATTCTATAGAATGCCTAGGCATTGTATATAATGCCTAAAACTAGCCGGCAATGTATGAAACGATTCATATTTCACACATTTCCTAGGCATTCTGCAGAATGCCAAATGACAAACCGGCAAAGTATGAAATACATTTCCGATTGGTTTCGAAGAACCGAAACTACTTATCAATCAGAAATTAATAAATGACGTAAAAATGCCAAAATGACTACTAAGAAGGAACCACGGGACTACTGGGCATCCAGTTGAATCGCTAGGATGAGATGTTTGTAGGAAACAAAAGTGCATTCATTTACCCTGTTAAAGAAAGCCTTACTACTATACAGTTTTACGTCACGGACGCCGAGTTATTTTCCGTATTTCATGAAAACTCATTTGAGTGTTACACAGGAATGACGTGACAGAATGTCGAAAGAACTTTCAACCAATTACAAAAACGTTACACTTAATGATATTGAACTGTAACAACCACCCTTGTGAGCCCTTCCAGAAGAAACAAAAAGGTATTGAAAAGAGAACTGATGTGAAACTTATGATTGTTTCTGAATTTAACTTCCGTTGTCAGGTAGATCTTACCGATTCCCAATCTCAGCCAGATAGAAAATACAAATTTATTACGCTTTATCAAGATCACCTCACTATCTTTTTTTTTTTTTTTTTTTTTTTTTTTTACATATTTCGAAGAACAGTTTTTTAATGGCATTCTTTCATTAATTTTTCAAAATAACATTTGTATTTTAGAGGAAGGAACGTCTTTTAAATAATAGCCTTATTATAACCTTTTTTTCATACTCTGTCTAAAGAGCATCTGTTATTATATATAATGCCTATAGATCATTTGTCATTGTATAGAATGCCTAATGGTATTATATAGAATGCCTAAGTAAAGTATATAATAATTCTCTTATTCCATACTTTGCCTAAAATCGTCCTGCATTATATATAATGTCTAGTCATTCTATAGAATGTCGGCGTTTCATTCTTTGTCGGTAACATATGTTGAAAAAGAGCTGATAAATTTTTTGTGTCAATAGTTCTTTGAAAACTATTAAATATTTTATATCAAAAGATTAATGGAATCATAAAATTAGAAGAAATGTTTTCTAAATTTGATACATTATAAATTATTGGCCAGGCTTGATTATCAAAATTCTTGGAGAAAGAGCCTCGATTAAAACTGCTGGATATGTTACTTTATTTTAGTAGACAATTTGATTATATAAAAGGTTTTTGTTCATACTGAAAGTTATCAAATGCTATTCTAATTTTTGTCTGCGTGCTTAATGTGAGTGAAGCAGAACACGAAAAAAATTATGATGTAGTCTGCCGTTTGCTTTCTTAAAACTTGCAAGACCCCAGCGTTTTGTTTGATATTTAATCCTAATAGTAGCACTCACTCTTTAATGTAAACAAGTCTTTTTATTATTGCATAATTTTACATGGCAATATTAAATTATTTTTCGTTACAGGAATGCAATTTATAAGATTTACTTAAATATTCTGTTTTATTTATTTTTCGTTTTTAAATATGATAGTTGCCCTTAACAAACTGATGTTCCTGTACAACAAATACATTAGTTAGCAAAGGTATTATAAGAGCATATCTCATATTTTTTACAATCATGTAAAACATATTCGATCATTTACTTGTCATTATGATTATTTAAAATAACTTAAAATTAACCCAGAGAAGAGTGTAAATTAAAATTTCTGTTTAACAAATACTAGATTTCTCATCTTAAAAATTTATTGGGGGAAAACAATTTCCAACGCGAATCTTGAAGGTGATTACGAAATAACTGGAATCCGGAAGCTGATGACGTCAGAGGTTGGCACTTATACAAAGCAATATTCAATCATTTGGGCAAAAAAGTGATTGTTGTCTTTCTGGATATGAGCAGTCAACTATAGTACAACGCAGAGAATTTGGAAGTGAAAAAATTTAAATATCGCATTGAAGTAGAAATTCTAGGGCATTTTTGTTTTGTGGGCTGTTTGTGCTCTAAATTTAGTGATCATATAGTTATTCAGTTAGGTGATTAGTCATCAGATCATATAGTTATTCAGTCTAGCTCTCCTTCACTGTTAATTTGGGAAATGCTTTTCTTTGGGGTTCTGAAAATCTGTTTTATCCTTGAACTTCGTCAGTGTACGTTGAAATCTTTTGCTGTAGTTAATAACACTGTTTATATTATGTAAATTACTTATTATGCAATTTTTTCGCTTTCATTTTTCAGCATAAGTTTAATTTCCTAAATAGATTTAAATTTGATATCAAAGTGCATGCATCCCCTTTTTTTTGGCTCTGCAAACGCCTTCATCTGGTTCAAGGACACGTTGCATCGGTTTTTGTCCTGATGAGAAACATTTTCAGGAGCGCTCAGTTACCGAAATGAAGCATCCTGATTCCTAAATTTCTTATAATTTAAGGGTCCTTTTCATAGATGGGTATGTTATGTTAATACGCGAATCAATTCACCTTTAGATTTAAAAAAAAATTAGCACGGAAGATAGTGAGCGGTAGTGTGATCTTACTTTACGCCAGCTGAAAATGGAGTTGCTGAACTTTTTCTGAATTTTTTAATTTAATACTAGAAAGAGTTCAGTTCAACAGCTGACTTAGCACACTACACATTTACAAGACTACGTAATAGACGTCATAATCAAATGAAAAAGCACAGGAGTTTTTTCAATATTCACGGCTAGACATTTTAACGCCAGGTGCAATCTTTGTGGATCCTAAATACTACTGTCCATTGCCTCTACAAAAATTTTGTCTTCCTTAAATTTTGCTGCCCATTACTTTTTCTAAATCCTAAAACGTTTGCCATCCTAAAGTTTTGCTTCTTAAAGCTTCTCTAAATTTGGGAAAAAAAAAAAAAAAAAAAAAAAATTTGCCGCCTTAAATTCTGCCATCCTGTGCTGACGCACCGGTAGCATCAGCTTTTGCGCCGACTTTAAACAATATTGACATATTGTTCATTGCACATTAGGAATTATTAATCTCTCTCACTTCTGTTTCTATCTTCTTTCTCTGACTCGGAGCCATATTTTTTTGGTAATTAATATTAACTAAGAGATGCGCCCCTCTCTGGCATTCAGGAGGCGCCAAACTGATGTTACGAAATTTCAGAATACATTTTTTCCATTTTTAGCAAACAGGAGGGGGGCGGCAGGAAATCTTAAATTTTTCCTGGTAGCTGAAAAACCTAACTACGGCTCCGTTAATTTTTATGATAATATTTAATTCAGGCTCATATTTCAAGTTCGGACTTTATTCTATTCCTTTTCTAAAACTCACTTTTTTATCTGTTCCTTAGAAAGATTCGTATCAATTGCTATGCAATTATTATTACTCTCAAACAAAATTGCCTTGAAGAAACGGTAGTGTCAAGTCAGAGTCGTAGCTAGGGTTTTCTGCGCCCAGGGACAAATGAAGACTTCGCGCCACCCTATTGCTTGCCAAGGATGGAAAACATTTAATTCTAAAATGTCGTAACATCAGTTTGGTGCCCCTTGGATTCTGCGCCCGGGGACAGATGTCCCCCTTGCCCCGCTCTAGCTACTCCCCCAAGTCATTGACATTTCCCTGCGCGTTCTTCGCAATTCGCGTTGTTGACAATCGCAGCAAGAATATCAACGAGTCAAGGAAACATCTACCTTTCTATTTTCCTAGTAAAAAATATTTTATGATGACTATCCCTACCTAAATTATTCTGGTTCTTACTTTCGACGCAAAATTAGTGCTTCTGAGTTTTGACCTTTTTCTCAGTGCGAAGGCATTTAATTCTAAAGGCTTTGAAAATTTTTCAAAATTTTTACCTTATTTGATGAACTCCCCTTTTTATGATAACTTAATCTCTTTCGATGATGTGGAGGTACAGGCGTAATTCTGCCTATGAACTCCGTAGTATGAACTTCCTTAATCCTTGATCAAACAAAATTGCTTTCTTTCTAGCTGCTTTTTCTGCATAGCAAGTGTGATTTTTGGTCCAGTGGGAAAAAAGACCTAGCGGGTGCGAAACAGACATATGGCTTCTTTGCTGAAAAACAAGAAATAAGAAATTAGTTGCTTATCTTGCCGATTACGTGAGATATGAACTTTAAAATTGTAACTATCATATAAGCGTGTAAATATGATTTGAAATGAGATCTTATCCATTTCAGAAAAAAGATTGGTCTTAGTTAAATTGCCTTAAAAAGTGTCACAATGCTGAAAACACTTACATGTGTTTTCGTTTTCTTCACATGCTTAATATTTTTTATCGTTAATTATTTTGTACGTAAACCATACATGGATGAAATTTTCCACTACCCTCAGGCGCTGAAATATTACAATGGCTCCTTTTTTGAAGTAAGAAACTTTGTTTCCAAATAGATATGAACTTAAATTATGTATTTTTGTTATATTTAAATTTTAATTCCCGTAGACAGAGTTCTCAGCAAGTGTGTGTGTGTGTGGGTAATTTCATAGTTTCGGGGGGGGGGCTGTTAGCCCTTTATTTAGTTTTAGTTTATGAATATAAAAACTACTTTTATTCAAGTTAGTATTTATCAATATTTTCTGCACTTTTAATTTAGAAAACACGCTAGAAACTAAAACATAGGAATATAAACACGTTGATGTGAAACTATGGAATTCGATAAATGATTTAAATTTTTAATTAACAAGAAATATAGTTTCGGAAGTGAAAACATTTAAATTGTTACTGCTGATAGAAGAAATTTATGAAGTGAATCTTTGAGATGACCACTAATGATTCCAGACAATTCTGAGTTACTGTGGATGTGATTACATTAGAAAATAGTATTCTCAGTGATATTCAATAAATTTGATAATTGGTAGTTATTAAATGATCCATCACATCCTACAGAAAAAGGCTAATAAAATGAGTGGTCACAGTGAAAATGGATTTTATGTGCTTTTAAGAGCAGGAGGTATTTTGTACCAATCATATAAATTATGAGTAGTTTTACTAAATATTGATTGTAATACGTTTATGTGTTATTTTTATTGTTTATTTATGTTTTATTGTTTATTTATGTGTTATTTTTTTATGTTGTTTTATTATCACTAACATGTGAAGTTAGCAGCTGGAAGATTGAATCCTGATGAAGGCAGAATTGACTTTGGTTGATCTTTACAGTATGGTAACTTAACGATTTTTTGGCGAAAATTTGGCAACCAACTCTCCTACAGCAACCTTCTGTTTTTTTTTTCCCCCGCCGCCATTTTGTCTTCACGAAGTAAAGACATGTTTCTTTTCTTCTTATCTACTGAACACTTCTTCCAACAATCTACTAGCCGAATTACACTTATGCTAGAAATTTTATCAAACAAAACTGCTTAATCATGACAAATATTCACTGCAAAATTGGGAAAAAGTGCACAATACCATACTCCTTACGTGTTTTTCAAAATAACACATACACATAAACCTTGTACACGCCGACTTATTTTTACTTAAAAAAACATCCCAGAATTGCACAAAAATGGCATTGTGCACGCTCTTCACTATATCCATGTACACTGCTTTTTTCTCATAAATTAGAAAAATTTCACGAAAATACATGACAATTTTCTCAATCTTTAAACCCGGTAAAAAGAACATATATGAAATTACCTGATCGCGAAAAAGTATTTACCCTTTACAAATATGAACATTTCCACATATAAAATAAATAAAATATCCAAAAACGTTTACCTCTAAATCATCTATTACATTATACAAGTCACCAACGAATTCATACCGCAAGCATTACAAATACTTCGTATCAAATATTTAAATTATTTCCATGAACGTTTATTTCAACTTAAACGTATACCAAATTCCTACAAACATAAAATTCACAAAATAACTATCATTTAAGTAAAATATCACTAAACCATGTCCACGTAGACTTATTTTTACTTAAAAAAACATCCCAGAATTGCACAAAAATGGCATTGCGCACACTCTTCACTATATCCATGTACACTGCTTTTTTCTCATAAATTAGAAAAATTTCACGAAAATATATGACAATTTTCTCAATCTTTAAACCCGGTAAAAAGAACATATATGAAATTACCTGATCGCGGAAAAGTATTTACCCTTTACAAATATGAACATTTCCACATATAAAATAAATAAAATATCCAAAAACGTTTACCTCTAAATCATCTATTACATTATACACGTCACGAACGAATTCATACCGCTAGCATTACAAATACTTAGTATCAAATATTTAAATTATTTCCATGAACGTTTATTTCAACTTAAACGTATACCAAATTCCTACAAACATAAAATTCACAAAATAACTATCATTTCATTAAAATATAATTAAATTCAAAACCTCTACTTAAAATATAAATGAGCACATACATTAAATTAATAAAAATTACCTTACAATCCTAATTACTTTAAACTAAATCATTGCTAATAACAATTTTCCCAATAATACCAAATTCCTTTCCACCTTACATTTAGAACAATGCATAAAAATAATATCCTCAAATAATTAAAAATACTAACTTACCTAATCTTCTTCAGAATCTTGATTACGTGGCGGATACACTTTTCTAATTCATTCAATAAAATTATTGAAAGATTTTTTCTGCGAATTTTTCCTCCATACTTCCCGCTAAATAAAAAGCAAACTTCTCTTTATCACAATGCCTAAATACCCATTTCGAATTAACTTTAGTTAGGGCCATGGGATCCAAATATTAAACAACACTGTTTCACACAACACAGTATAAAGCTAAATACAAAATTTCCACATTTTTTCCTGATTTGCCCCCTTTTCTGATTAAAGAACCATAATTCGTCCATTAATATCACATGACATATTCCATGATCTCTCATTTCCTTCACGCAAAAATAATGCGTAATCGGAACTGAGTACTGCTCACATTATTACCAAAGTCCCAGGTAGTAACCTTTATCGCCTCCAAAATGTCGCCAAACTACCAGTTACCATATTGTAAAGATCAACGTTGACTTTTTATGTCTTCTGCTTTTTTTTAAATAAGAGACTATAAAGCAATTTGTAAATTCTATGAACTAACTGTTGTTGACAATGAGGAAAAAAACCTGCCTTTTTTAATGTTTTAAGTAAATGCTATATAAGGAGAGAAATAAAAAGGGAACGGGCATATAAATTACCCAAGATATTCTTGCATCCATACGCAGCTATGCTGAAGTGTAACGTATATTCATAACTAAAGATGCCTCATATATTCATACATTCAAGCATAATGTATGAAAAAGGTAATTATATTGTGTAAACATCATATCTTGAGGTAAAATCGAGTAAATGTGTTTTCTTTTAATATAAGTGATAAAGGATAAATAATTATGATATGTTTAATTGTTAGGCCATGTATTAAAATGAATATGATTTTAAAAAATATTTCATTAAAATAAACATTATGTCATGTTTGTGCCAGTATAGTATTTATGGTTGGATATTTAAGAAATAGTAATTACCATAGTCAAATCAGTCAAGGGCCTCCAGACATGATTAACATAGTAAGTTGCCTTAATACGGGTAAAATGTCCCAACCCTTAGAGGCAATCCAAGGTGGCATAACCCCTCCTGATTAACCCAGGGGAACATAAATTCACAACGTCTAAGCAAAAATAATATTTAGTTAGTGATGCAATTGTCAACAAAGAGAACACAGGTCAGTAGGGTCTGTGCCAGAGCGAGCCAACCTCAACGGCCAACCTTCGAAATCTTGACCATGTAGCATACCCACAACCAAGGGGCAGACAAGATAGTACCATACTATCATATGGTTCCTGCCAAGCCTGAATCTACCATCGTATAAACGATGGTTCTAGTCACTGTGAAGACTGATTATTTACCCCAGAAGTTGAGTCTGTCTAGGTACAGGCCCTAGCCGGAGGACCTTAGGTTGCCCCCCCAGTCAATCCTGTGAAGGGTCTGTGTTACACATTCTTAAGAGGAAAAATACAGTGCTCAAACAACCATTATTTATGTGGTAATTCTTTGATTTTTGACTATCCATTGTTTTCATTAACTGGTATGTTTTCTGAGAAGCATTGCTATTTACTTATAACTAGGCTTATTCGTGTAACCATCTCATTAACAAGAATGTGCCTAAAAGCCAGTTAATAATACACCATCAAAAAGGGGGGAAATCTTATGCTTAAAGAAACAAACATTTTATGAGAATTAAATAAGTACTTTGCATTTTGGATTAGCATTCAACCTTCACTAATTACTCTATAGTCTGGGATAGCATAATGAAATAATAAAAACCACTGCTTAGTAGTTTCGTCCTAATTCTGGTTGCTGATGGACTGGCTTCACATTTTGCTTTACGATTTCTTTCTGCACCTCCAAATTTGGCATCAGCTGGCACTATATTGGTATTGCGTAAAGCTAGCAAATAAATTCTTTTGTTGCTGCGTTAGTGTCATGTGTAGAATATCAGATGAAGATTAGAATTTTCAAGTTAGTGTCATGTGTAAAGCATTAAAGGTTGGTGCTTGAGGCCTGTGGTATATCGCTTGTATATGTGACTTACCAATTTCTAATTTTTAGGAAATAATTTAATAATTGAAAGGTACTTTCTGATGCTCACAAATAACTGATCTACACGCTCACTAAACATTGATGACTATGGTGCAAAACATGTGCTTGGCTAACTTTATGGCTTACAAGTTCACAAATAGTAACTCTGTTCACAAATAGTAATGAGCTGAAGTATTTTTATAAAAAATTTAAAATATTTGTGGGAAAACAAAAAATATTTATGGACGATATTTACAATTTTACAGTCAGTTCATGTTTGCTTTTGCCCTTGGAATTTCATTGAAACCGGCTCTTGCTTGCTGGCTTTTCTGCCCAGTTTCTCTGGTTCACCTAATTTCAGTGTTATTTAACATGTTGTATATGATTCCATTTTTTAGATCCAGCCCACCAACAGCTGAGCAGTAAAATCACTGAACACTGGTAGCTCCGGCCTGGGTTCAAATCCAGGCAAATGGGTTAGCTGCATGGGCGTTTTTCTGGCTTTCTTTATGTGTAATGCGTATATGAGCCAGTTTCACTTCAAAAATCCTCCATGAAGGCATTTCTTCCCTTAGGAAGATAGTTTTAGTGTGCTTTACCATAATGAACAAAGCCAAACCAAACCTTACTGGATCCACAAATTATATTTATGGTTTATTTTCCACGCTTCATAGTCAGTTTCTCACAGTTCATAACTGTTGTATCCCTTCCAACTATTGGAGAAAAGATGCTAGTTCTTTGATGTTCTTTTCAATTTCTTCCATCAATATTGCTGCATTTTTGATTGCAATGGTCAATATAAAAGTTTTCTTTATTATGAGGTAAATTCTTTTGGGTTTCTTCTATCAACATTCCTGTACTTCTGTCTGGAACAGTCACCATAAAAGTATCTTTTGTTATGTGTTATCAAATTCTTCAAAAAGTCCACTGATATGGAAGGATTTAGTATATTATGTTTCATGAATATTTCATAAATAGACTCTTGTCGTTTTCATCAATGCATGCAGTGCCACCTACTTTTGTACATTTTTCTTTTTCGTAGAAAGCATATGCATTTATTAGATGTAATTAAACCAGCAGCTAAATTAATTAGTTTTATATGGGGATAATCCCAATTCTACTTCAAAAAATTTGACTAATAAATAAAGCAGATATCTATTATAAATTAGATATGATTATTTTCAAACTGGTTTTTGACCCTCATTCTAACACTTTGCTTGCAGTTTTTGGCATTACATTTAGACAAAGTTTGATCCTTTATTAAATACAGCCTCACAGACATTTGCATTTTTATAGATACCATAGATTTTTGCATTGGTATAGCCTCATCGATTTTTCCATTCTGTATTGTTGGGCAGAATACCATAGTTCTTAAGAAATCTATTACTCTCTATTTCATCGGTTGGCAAAATCCACAGTACCATTACAGTTCATTACAACAACAATAAATGCTCATAATGGAGGGAAAAAATGCTGGCTAAAGTTTAAAAGTGTAAATCCACATGTACTTAAATATGTGTTGTGTTATTTATGGACAAACATGGGATTTCCAAATTTTACATATATATGCAAAAATATTCAGTAAACACGGTTATACTGACTGTTAAAATCAAAGTTGCGGTAAAAGTATAGTTTAGGGTACCCCTTGGCAATTTTTGGCAGTACATGGATACCGATTTTGTGCAATTCCTTGACTCATTATTTTGGCTTGCTAAGCGGCGATTTTTGTGCCAAAAATCGTCGCTACACGAAGCCAAAATACCAAGACAAACGATTGCACAAAATCGGGATCCATGTACACATCGACTTATTTTCACTTAAAAAAAAAAATCCCCGAATCTCACAAAAATGGCATTGCGCACTCCTTTGACTTCATCCATGTATACGTCGGCCTATTTTCACTTAAAAAAAATCCCAAAATTGCACAAAAATGGCATTGCGCACTCTTTTAACTTTATCCATGTACACGTCGACCTATTTTCACTTAAAAAAAAATCCCCAAATTGCACAAAAATGGCATTGCGCACTCTTTTAACTTTATCCATGTACACGTCGACCTATTTTCACTTAAAAAAAAATCCCAGAATTGCACAAACTTGCATGGCGCACTCCCTTTACTTTGTCCATGTACACATCGATATATTTTCACTTAAAAAGTGAAAGGAGCACCAAATTCTACAATATAGGCAAGCAAAAAATACATAATCTCAATAAAATACATTTTAAACCAAACAATAAAATAACATAAAAAAGGAAAAACATGTTATACGTTTAAGCACTACCTAAAGCAAATATTCACTCACTATGATTTTCGAGTTCGCTTCGTACACCCAGAGCCACATAAAAATCAAAATATCAATCATACTCAAATTACTTTTTTCAAACCAGGTACTCTTTCTGATCGAACGCTTCAGATAGTGACCGTCTGAACCTTTCTTCCTACAAACCCATTCAAATCCATCGAAGCAGTTTTTACATTCAACTAGACGCATATCCTTCCTACATACAGGACACTTATAATGGCTACTCAGTAAACCTTCATTTACACACTAGTCAATTAAAGCTCTTTTCACCTTTCGTTTCAAATTAATCTTACTATATTCGGCCATTCTACCGTCTAAAGAATCAAACCAACACACACCACAAAATCGCTTACAAAACATCCCATGATTCAAAATTTCCCAGAATCATGTACCCGATTACGACACAATAGGGTTTCCATAACATTCAACTGCTCAGGCTACCACAAATTAAACAACAACTTGGCGATAAATCAAACAACAACTTTGCCATAATAAAAGGAGTACCTTAAAGTCTACTCTACCCCAAAGTTACTGGTAGTCAGGAAGTGCCTAGTGAAATGAAATTCTTTGGTAATGATACAGCAAGAAGTAAAATGTTGCTGCAAGATGACTGCATAGAAAGTTTATCCAATGTTCTAATTGAATGTGAAGATTCTAAAGAAAAAGAAGATTATTTTATTGAAGATTTGAATGATGTAGAATTTTCAGACTCCTTTGAAATACTTGGAGTAAAAAACTGCTGCCAAGCGATGCAGAAGATTTAGAGAACAGTATTGATATTAGTGGTAGGGGGGGGGGAATTATCCCACATGTGGATGTCAAAGTGGTAATATAAATTTTTGTTTACTAACATCTTTTACAACCCTTCCTAATGAATGTACTCTAATCTTTGTTTAAATTTTTCAGGAAAAGAGTAATTATAAGCATGTAGGTACTTCTAGTGTTAATTATACTTCCTGAAATATTTCACTTTCATTATTTGTACTATTAATGAATTCTTGCCCATGTGATTTTGTGACAAAATTATGCATTTGAAACATTATGCATTTTCTTTTTCTTTTAGTGGGATCCTAAAATAACCACACCTCCTGGACTGTATTTGTCAAGTGTAACAATACTGATTCCTTTATCCAAGTTAATTGAATATGATCTGAGAAAAATTGAATATTTTCGAATCACCAACCTGTTCTTCACATTTGGAAATTTCTTTTTACTCTACAAGATTCTCTGCTTGCAACACCTGGTAATAAGAAAAAAAAAAAAATCGTACTGTATTGTATGTTATTTCTGCATGTCATAATTTGTGTATAATAATTATCTCTGGTTATTTGACTTTATTGTCTCTAGTTATGTAACAATTAAGCAAGAAATATTTCTCTTCATTAGATAAATTTGTATACTCTAATAGCTTACTTCTGTTATGTGTCATGCCTCAAATTTTCAACTGAATCTTTTGTATTCTTATTTGCTTAGATTCATTTCTGATAGCACAGGAACTGCTACATTTTAGGATAATTAGCTACTTGTATTTAATTAAGATTGCAAAAAAATAAATAAACTACAAAATCTGAAATCCAGATGTCTAGTGTCCGGAATGATCTAAAATCTGGATCTGATGATCAGAAAAATTCCAAATCCAAAATTACTGAAGTGCCAATGTGTCAGTATCTTGGACTTTGTACTGTAAATATTAAAAAAAAAAGAAGAAGAAAGGTATAATTTCAGCTGAGTATTTAAAGTAATTTTCTATGCATTGTATTATTTGTGTCTAACTGTAAATCCATAATTTATATGTCATAGCTGCCAACCTCGTTTATGACCAAATCTCCTGGATCAAAACCACGATCTGCTACCATTTATTGTTTAGAGGCCCATATTTAGAGTAAAGAAGCCATTGATTTAGGACAACACACTTTATTTACACAAATATTGAATAAAAAGTGCACACAGCAAATTATATTGACCATCACACAGCATTAGTCTATCACCATCTCCGTACGCTTGAATGACAGATGTGTTGGGAGAAGAGACAGCTGCGCCAGCATAATTAATACACATGCACATAAAGAAAAAAGTTCGCTCGCCTCTACCTAACAAATATTTTCCTTCATGACATTTAATAAAATTTTTCCATTGTGGTGGAACATACCAAACGTTTTTTCTTCCAGTGAAAAGGTTTTTGTGTACTTCAGTAATCTTATCATATCCATAGTTACATGCATAAGGTGTGCCATTAAAGCTATGGCACACCTTATGCATGTAACTGTTCTAGTCTATAGATGCATTGCGGTTCATATTTAGTTGGAGTTCTCAAAATTCAATAGATATCTGCTTACATCAAAACTAGATGAATATCACAGCTGTAAGGAAGGTGATTTTTCAATCCTTCAGTTCAATTTTATGTTTTTAAACCTTTCTTCTTATTATAGGATTCTTTTCTGCCAGTACCATTTCACTATTGAGTTATTGATAAAATGCAATGGTGATCAAGTGATTGCATTTGCTAGGTTTAGTGCTTTTACTTATGTATTTTTGCTACAGTTTCGTACAGACTCGATAATGAAATTTTACTGGAAAATTATTCACAGCATTTAATTAAATATCTTAAATTAATGGAATTGTAAATATGCTAATTTCATTCTCCCCTTCCTAGCGATTTGCAGTGTAATTTTTCTTATTGATCTGAATTTTCATATTCTATTATAGATATTGGTAGATCTACTTATGAAGATTCAACCAATGTTTAATTATTGTTAATGTTTGTGTTTAATTTTGTTTCACATCAATATATGTTACATTCTTAAGTTTATTCATACATATTCATGTAAGTACATTCATTATTAATTTTATTTCCATCATATTAAAAAAAAATAATGCGAGCTTTCGTTCCCTGCTCGGGTTTTTCTCAGTAAAAAGCATAATAAACCCAAAATGAAATTAGTCTAAAGTATAAAATTTAGAATATTGAATTAAATATTGGTTGATCTTTGGATTATGGTAACTTGGCGATTTTTTGGTGAAAATTTGGCGACCAACTCTGCTACAGCAACCCTCTATTTTTTTTTCGCCGCCATTTTGTCTTCACGAAGTAAAGACATGTTTCTTTTCTTTTTATTTCCTGAACGCTTTTTCCAACAATCTACTAGCCGAATTATACTTATGCTACAAATTTTATGTAACAAAACTGCTTAATCATGACAAATATTAACTGCAAAATTGGGAAAAAGGGCACAATCGCAAACTCCTTGCACGTTTTTCAGAATAGCACATACACATAAACCATTTACACATCGACTTATTTTTACTTAAAAAAAATCCCAGAATTGCACAAAAATGGCATTGCACACACTCTTAACTTTATCCATCTACACTGCTATTTTCTCATAAATTACAAAAATTTGCACAAAAATGCAAAAAAAATTCTGTGAATCTTTAAACTCGGTAAAAAGAACATATATGAAATTACCTGATCGCGAAAAAGTATGTACCCTTTCCATGGATGAACATTTCCATGTATAAAATAAATAAAATATCCAAAAACTTTTACCTCTAAATTATCTATTATATTATAAACGTCACCAACGAATTCATACCACAAACATTACAAATGGTTACAAATACTTAGTGTCAAATATTTAAATTATTTCCATACACGTTTACTTCAACTGAAACGTATACCAAATTCCTACAAACATAAAATTCACAAAATAACTATAATTTAATTAAAATATCACTAAACCATGTACACGTCGACTTATTTTTAAACTTATTTTTAAAAAAACATCCCAGAATTGCACAAAAATGGCATTGCGCATACTCTTCACTATATCCATGTACACTGATTTTTTCTTATAAATTAGAAAAATTTCACGAAAATGCATGAAAATTTTGTGAATCTTTAAATCCAGTAAAAAGAACATATATGAAATTACCTGATTGCAAAAAGTATATACACCCTTTCCAAAGATGAACATTTCCACGTATAAAATAAATAAAATATCCAAAAACTTTTACCTCTAAATTATCTATTATATTATAAACTTCACCAACGATTTCATACCGCTAACATTACCAATGGTTACAAATACTTAATATTTAAATTATTTCCATGCACGTTTACTTCAACTGAAACGTATACCAAATTCCTACAAACATAAAATTCACAAAATAACTATCATTTAATTAAAATATCACTAAACCATGTACACGTCGAATTATTTTTACTTAAAAAAACATCCCAGAATTGCACAAAATGGCATTGTGCACACTCTTCACTATATCCATGTACACTGCTGATTTCTCATAAATTAGAAAAATTTCACGAAAATGCATGAAAATACTCAACGTATTCTACTCAAACATATTCCAAAATACTACAAACATATAACTCACAAAATCACGATCATTAAATTAAAATAGAATTAAATTAAAAAACACTACTTAAAATATAAATAAGCACATACATTAAATTAATAAAAATTAGATTACAATCCTAATTACTTTAAACTAAATCATTGCTAATAACAATTTTCCAATAATATCATATTATTTTATTTACTTCTTACATTTAGAACAATGCATAAAAATAATATCCTCAAATGATTAAAAATACTAACTTACCTAATCTTCAGAATCTTCATTACGTGGCACGCGCACTTCCACTATTTCACACAACACACAATGAAGCTTAATACAAAATAATATAGTACTACAGTTTTCCAAATTCCCCCCCTTTTCCGATTAAAGAACTGTAATTCGTCCATTAATGTCACATGACGTATCTCATGATCTCTCATTTCCCTCACACAAAATAATGCGTAATCAGATCTGAGTACTTCTCACATTATTACCAAAGTCCTAGGTAGTAACCTTTATCGCCTCCAAAATGTCGCCAAACTACCAGTTACCATATTCCAAAGATCAGCCTAAATATTTATATAGTTTATACCAGCATCACAAATGTCTCAATATTCTGATTCATGCATTAAAGTGATTACATGTCAGTTTGGAGTTCTTTTTAAATGTTGTTGCCATGCAGCATAAAAAAAAATCTCCCAGCAGCTCTCAATTGTAACATGAAAATCTACCAGTTTTTTATATTTCAAGGTTGGTAGTTATGGTATGTAGAACAGAAGTCTTTTTCTATGGCTTGCAATAAGGCAAAGAAAATTTGTTGTTACTGTTGTTGTATTTTCTGATACATAAATTTTTCATATTTATTTTGGCAGATCCATTCAAAATCACATTAGATTGTTATTCTCTGCTAAATAAGAAGGTGAATAACTTCTTTTGAAGTAATTTTCAATTCTTATTTTACCAAACTGTTTGTTGTTGTTAACATTACATTTTCCATTCTATAGCTTCCATAATCTATAGAGTTTCAGTGTGTAAGAATTAAAACACTCACAGTTTTTGCAAAACACTGTAATACCTGGAAATCTTGCTTCTGCTTCATAACTTCAAAAATCTAGGAAATGCGTTAAGAATTAATGTAACACAAAGAAACATAGTCTGTGAAAAGTTTCTATAGAAAAACTGTTTCAAGGAAGGGGGAAGGTACACAAAGCAGATATGCACTTGGTTGTTAATGCTGTTGATGTCTTAAGTTAATATTGAAGTAATAAATAAATAAACCCCACCCCTATCTCCTTTTTTAGGGGGAAGGAGGACTGCTAATATTGCTAAATTTCATTTAAATGGGCTGTGTATTAGTGGGAGTAATAATTTTTCTGTTGAGTGTTAGCCTGTGTATTAAGAGCTGGTGTTTTAAACCATTCAGAAGGTGATTTATGCCAGTGATGGTCAACTAGTAGCCCATAACGTTCTTTTTCTGAAAAGTTAGCTTTGGCTTATTATTATCTCTTCCCTGATAAATGGCATACGTTTAAGCATCAGTGTGGTAGCATATGTTCCTGCACAAACATGCAATGTATATATTTTTGATTATCTTAAAAGATAAAATAATTTTTATAATTCTGTTACTTTGCTTGAGCATCTACATTTTTCTCATATGCTTATATTTTAGCCTTCCAGCGAGCTCGCCTTCTAGACCAACAAGAAAGGTCTTGCGTATTTCCTAGATACACTATTATAAAAAATAAATTATTCAGAGCAAAATTATTCTTTCAACGTTTTCCTTTACAAGAGCATTTGCTAGCTTTTGAAGATATTGCCTTCTTAATAATTTTTCACTATTATTCATTGAATGAATTATTGGTGCTGTATTCAGCATAGAGAAGAAAA